AGAGAGAGAGAGAGAGAGAGAGAGAGAGACTGGGGTTGTGGCTCAGTGGTTAAGCACTCTTGGGTTCAATCCTCAGTACCAAAACAAAAACAAAAACAAAACCAAAACCAAACTTAACTCTTCCTAATCAGTAAGTTGCTTGTTGCTTTGATGGTATTTTCAGACATAAGCATTCAATATCTTCAAAACATTGTATTTGTTGAATGTTACCCTAAGAGTCTAGAAACAATCCCCAATTTGTAGCTGGGGAAACAGACTCATCCAACTTAAGTGGCCTCGGCCACACCATTGCTAGATAGCACAGCCTAGGTCTGGCTGAGCAAAGCCTGCTCTCTTTAGTGTCACCTGCCTTTCCAGAATTAGTGAGCTGGAATACAAAATACAAACATTCAGGCTATTTGGGGGCGACTGATGGGAATCTGCTCTCAAGTTACCAGATAATGGCACCTAGTGGATAGCCTTTACTCTGTTCTGGAAAGTCTCAAACAGGCAGGTTTCTTGGGAGAGTCACTATAGAGAGGCAGTCCTGGATCCCCAAGGCATCCGTATGATTGCCCAGGGTCTGAAGAACTATATGAACCATGGCAGGCAAATGGGCTTTGGTGGAAACCAGCCTTATTTCAGGCAATTGCTTCCCACAGGGCATTGTACCAGTGACAGGGAAGACAGCCCCTGACCCTCTGCAGGGGGAGGGGAGCCAGCACACATAGTGATTTGTTACGCTTTTCTCTAGTCAGATGCATGTGGCCGACCCCACACCAGCCTGCAGAGGGGTTCTTTCCTTCTGCTTCATGGAAAACATACATGCTTGCTTTAAAGTCAGCAGAACTTGCACCAAGGTGGCTTGACTCATTTGGCGCTTGGAAAAGGGATGAGAGTTCAGAGTTCACTTACCCAGAAGAAGAAGTTGAACAAGAAGAGCAAATACTTCAGGTAGACAATGAGCCAGTCCTCCTGTTCCGTCTTGTAATGGGCCATGGTTGCTGGACCTGCAAAGGACACACACATGCTGGGCCCTGGGAGGATATACCGACCTGCCTTATCCTCCCAGAGCCAGAGCTGCCTGACAAGGTCCCCTTCAAGGTCCCCTTTAAGGTCCCCTTCAAGGTCCCCTGTGTGACCAGGAGGGTTTGAGGCTGTGAGTGTGCAACATAGAGCAAAAATTAGGGAGACACAAAGGCCATTGGACACCTAATGGAGGTCAATCTGGGTAGAATTTTCTAGACCTCTGGATCTTGGCTCTCCCTGCCCCCCATGACCACAGGTCTAACCTAAAGGCCTTTACAAATTTCACATGGGCTTAGTGCTATTTGTACTTTCCTCCCATCTCATCACAATCACAGGGCACCTGTTTTCCTGTCCCCTACCCCATGCAGGTGCTCACTCTGTTGGCATGGCCACACTGCCTTGGAAAGCTGAACTAGGCACCATTTGAAGATCTCTGTGTGCATCTGCTTCGCAGAAGCCCCATCAGAGCACCCATGCTGGAGTTGGCCTTCGGGATCTCCCAGTCTACCCTGCCTGTTCCCAGCACCTTGACCTTCCAGATGAGGAGGCAGGTGCAGATGGGCCTAGTGGTTTGGCAGCAAGAAATACAAGAGACTCTGAAGTCAGCCTCCTGGATTCATGCTCTGATCTGGTACACGATGTGTTGGGCAAGTCCACGACCTCCCTCAGAATCCTTATGTGTAAATGCAGTTAATGATGATACCCACATCATAGAGTGGTTTGGAACATTAGATGGGATCATCTATGGGAAGGGCTTAGCATAGTCCTTGGCACAAAGCAAGTGCTCAATAAACGTCAGCTATTATTATTCCATGTCACTGAGCTTTGGCAAGAAACCAAGACTCCTGTCCTAAAATAGCCAGTCTTTAGCACCAAGCTTTCTCTCTTGTTCTGACACATTGATGGACACCTGGGAGCTGTGACATCATTGGTGGTGACAAAAGTAGAGAAGGCCCAGTGTGCCTGCTACTCCTGTTTGCTTCTTAGCTACTCTGGACCTCAGCAAGCCTGAAGCCTGGCTTCATGGCCCACGTTCACGGAGTGGGTGCTCCTTCAGAAATGGTCCCCTTCCAGGGAACCTCTTTTTGTTTCAGAACCACAAGCAATGAGCCCATTTCCATGTCACCCTCCATCACTCCTGGTCCCAACCAGGCCCTGCTCTTGTCCCTACCTCATCTCCTGGGCCGGGGCTGGGCCCAGGCCAGGCTTCTTCCTCCTGAGCATGGCTCTGCCTCTTACTTCAAAGCTCTAAGGCTCATGGAGTCAGAGAGAGGGGGAGAGGGAGATAAAAAAGGTGGCTGTCTTCTCCGGGATTTCTATTTGCAGATCTTGAAGAAGGTAATTTAAAACTTTTAGCCTTCGTGTCAAAAAGAAGACAAAACCCATTTTTCTCCAATTAGTCTGAGAGGCAGTGGAAGAAATACTGAAAGAGACAGAGAAGAAAAAGGAAGCTTGTGAACATGGTGATGGATGGGGCGGCCAGGACCTGAGTAGGAGCTACACCTTGGTGCTCTGCATCCGCCCTGATGTGAGACTGTGTCTGAGGACCTGCTGAACCCCACGGGCCCGTAGTGACCCCACAGAGCTTGTGGGGCCTGGCCTCTCCCAGCTGCTGACTGTTCTCTCCCTGAAGTGGACTCTTCCCAGCCAGAGTCCACTGGATCCACCACAGACATTTCTCTAGACCCACAGAAAAGGAACCTGATAAACTCACTCCAAGTCGGTATGGAAGGTGGCATTTTTAAAAAGGACTTCAGATAGGCTGGGCAGGTGGTGCAGAGACTTGAGAGGCTGAGGCAGGAGGATCATGAGTTCAAAGCCAGCCTCAGCAATGGCAATCGCTAAGCAACTCAGTGAGACCCTGTCTCTAAATAAAATACAAAATAGGGCTGGGGATGTGGCTCAGTGGTCAAGTGCCCCAAATTCAATCCCCAGTACTGAACCCCAGGAAAGTGTTTGGCCAGGCAGTCCTGAGTTGAGATGCACATTTCATAAAGAGTCCCCTGTGGAGGAAGAAAAGGGACAGGCCCTCTGGGCACAGGGAGGACTGTTAGGAAGTTGGCACTCAAGTCCAAGAAAGAGGTGGAGGTCTGAAGGGTGAGCAGGGGACAGACTCCTACTGCACAGAAGGAGGTCCCCTGGGCGGGTAGTCTGGGCAAGCAAGAAGCAGGGTGGGGCTCCCGAGAGCCCCGACCTACGTGAAAGGAGCAAAAAGAGGAGGGAGGAGTGAGGAGGAAGCTTATGTGCGATGGGTGAGAGGAGACCTGGGAGTGTGGTCCCAGAAGCCAGGGAAGAGGGGGCGTCCACAGTGGCAGATCTGCCAAGAGGTCCCAGCCAAGTGAGGACCAGCAAAGCGACCCTTCACCAGGGCAAGGTTGGTGGGTTAGGGATGCCTATGGGAGGGCGGAGTAAGTGGAGACCTGGAGTAGACATTATCCAATGGGAACACTAGGGAAGCATCCAGAAGGCCGAGGCCCAAGGAACACTTGTATGCTATAAAAAAGGAAGGTTCAGGAAGGCTTAGCTCCCTGGGAAAGGAGCCAAGGGTCCACAGCCCATGCATTGGCTGCCTTCAGTGAAAGGGGCAGGCTGGAGGGGGATGGTGGACAATCACTCCCAGGTGCCCTAAGGGGATCCCTGGTTTTCCTGTGGCCAGAGGATAATTCATGGAGAGCAGGGTAATAGCTGTCACAGCTCCCAGAGGGGAGAAAGCAAACACAGCCCCCCAAGTGGTCTTAGCTCCCCTGCCAGTGAATGAAAGGCAGGGCTTTGGATAATCCACCTGAGCCATTTTCTCTGAACTCTGAGGAGTGCCTTCTGATTTCTGGGAAGCAGACTGCCTTCCTAAGTGGAGTTTATTTGTGTTCGTAGGAATTGGAGTTGGACTTCCTGAGCCAATGGGAGGAAGTGTCCCTAGTGGGTAAGAGCTAGACAGTGGGGTCAGGTGAGACAGAGACACCCACCTGGGATGGTAATCGAACCTGCTGGTCCAGGCCTGAGCACAGAGAGGAGGTAACTGCTCCCCCAGGTCCCCCGCTGCTGCTGTCTCCTTTGGCCTCCTGGAGGCCGTGCTGTGTCCTCTGGGGTTTTGCTCACACTGCCCTGACTCTGAATTGCCTGCCTGCCTTCCTTCCTTCCTTCCATGAAATATTTTCTCAGGTATATTCTTTTTAAAAATACTTGTTCTTGGCTGGGGTTGTGGCTTGGTGGTAGAGCGCTTTCCTCATATGTGTGAGACCCTGGGTTCAATCCTCAGCACCACATAGAAATAAATGAGTGAAGTATTGTGTCCAACTAAAAATAAACAAATATTTTTAAAAAATACTTGTTCTTTTTAGATATACATGACAGTTGAGTGGGTTTTTTTTAATTCTTTTTTTTTTTTAGTTATACATGGCAGTAGAGTGAAGTTGGACGCATCATACATACATGGAGAACACTTCCCATTCTTGTCCTTGTACACAATGTGGAGTTTCACTGTTTGTGTATTCATATATGAACATAGGATAGTTATGTCCAACTCATTCTATTGTATTTCCTATTCCCATCCCCCTCTCCTTTCCCTTCACTTCCCTTTGTCTAAACCTAAGCACTTTTATTCTTCCCAACACCCCCATTGTGTGTTAACATCCACTTATCAGCGGGAACATTCAGCCTTTGGTTTCTTGGGGCTGACTTATTTCACTTAGCATGGTAGTCTCCCGTTCCATCCATTTACCAGCAAATGCCATAACTTCATTCTTCTTTTTGTGAAATTCCTCTATTTTCTGCTTATCCAAATGCACCAAGGCTCAGAGGGATCCTACCCTCTTGGAAGCTGGCAGTCCCCATCTTGCCTGACCCCCATGGTAATGTCCAGTGGCCCTGGACTATGGTAGTTGATGGGACATTTCCGTACCTTAGTTACTGATCTACGTCCACAGGCTGATTCCTGCTTGGGAACTCTGCTCTGAGCCTGAGGACTGAGTGGGGCAGCTGAGCTGCACAGTGGAGCCAGGCCCTGCTTCTGGCTCTGCCCTCTAATTGCCACCTAAGATTTAGGCAAGTAGCACCTGCCATGTTTCTTCATCCTGAGGGAGGCCATGTTCTCTTGGGCATGCATTGCATTGGAATTATCTGGACAGTTCATTAAAACCGGTTTCCAGACCTTACCCCTGGGGCTTCTGATTCATCAGGTTTAGGGTGAGAATTTGGAGAAAACTTGGAGCATTTGTTCCCAACCACATTGACCAGATTGGCCCAGGACAGAGGGATTTCTTTAAATATGGCACTTTGCTAAATCTGGGTCATCCCAGGCAAACCAGGGTGGTGGTCACCTACTCCCAGATATTTCCATTGAATCAGTGCACATTAAAGTCCAGGGCCCCGCAATATAAGTGTCCTCTATTCTGCCACAGACATGAGAGAGAGGTGGGGTGGGCACCAGGGCGTGTCCTCTCACACAAAATCCACATTTAAGACACAGTCCTCCTTGAGATGCCAGAGATTTCCCAGAACGCAGCAGCCTCAGCGCTTCCCCTCCAGGCCAGGGTTCTGACAGCAGAACAAAGCTTGGATTCAGGGGCAGCTGTCAGGCCCAGGGCTGGTAATACCAAATTCAGGCTTCACTCCCTAGAATCTTTCCGAGAAGCAACGGCACATGCCTGGGTGGTGAAGTGATGCTCTTTGGTGACTTTCATCAGGGACAGATGTGTAACATCATGGACTGTGAGACTTGGGGATTTCATCTTTTCTACTATAAGCCCTGCCCCCACCCCAAGTGAATGAGTTTTAAAGTGCAGAGAAGACAACAGACCTGTACAAACCGCCCAGAGGTATCTGAATCCTTGTGCCAGGCAAGGTTCCAGCCACGGCCAGCGCCCAGGAGCAGAAGGATCACACGGGGCTGTTGGATGGGGGGCAGAGCTGAGTCCTTTAATGTGGAAGGGCAGCTGGGGTGGACAGTGCCTAGAGCTGGCTCTGTAGACTGCCCAGGCCCT